ACATCTTTTAACGCGACTCTTTGTCCGAGATGACCCCTGTATAGGGTCTTTTTGCAAATGAGTTCGAGGCACCAACGTGCCTCTGCGACGGAACGCTCGACTGTCACGCAGAAGGACCTGGTTGAAGTCGCGCTTTATCAGCGGTAATTTTTTTCTCATTTCATTTTTTCACCTTTATCGCTTACGCCACTGACGGCGAAGGCGACGCCGTTGAACGCGGCAACGGGAGTCTAAGAGCTGCGCTCTATTAAAAAAAAAAGAACAACAACAAGCCGCTGTCCAAGCACTTCTTACAGACGGCCAACCAGCGAAGCTGGAACGTGTACGTGGCTTCATTTTCTCACACTCTAGCTGGTATCTATCGAAGTGTCTTCCGTTGTAACTTTTGATTTCTCAATCACCAAACTTCTGATATGCGTGTTGAAAGGTTTTAGTTAGTTTGCTTTAGTTTAGAGAATGTTAAGAACGTATTCCACGCTGCAGAGGCTGTCTTTCTAGCCGTATATTCTGACAACACCGGAAGAGAAACAATAGTTCAAGTTTGGAGACACTTTGAGGAGGCGTGTGCTGGCATTGCTTCATTGTAGTTTCTGTACATACACGCACCCCCCCCCCTCCCCCGCCTCCATATTCCTCCACCTCCTAGGCACATAAAGCATCGCTGTAAAATTTAGTTTTGCACTTGAGCCCAACTGAGCGTCTACAATTATTCAAATAAAATATACGTATTTAGCCAGTTTGAACTGCTCAGAGATTGTGTATTAGCGTATGTTCTAAGCAATGCGAGCACTTACCTTAGACGACGCGAGCCCGACAGGGCCGCGATGCACGACCACCTTCTTCCGCGCGATGACGATCCGTACCGCAGTGGCCTGTTCCAATACTGCGCGCGGCGGAGTAGGAGATCCTGTAAGACGAGCGCACTGCGCCGGACACCGTTCTGATACTCCAGACGGTGGGGTCCGATAACCTCCTCCTCGGAAATTCCGCAGTTGGGCCCCTGACGTGGACGCAGACAATTGAACGAGATAGCGGTCTCAGCCGCGTTATCTCGTCCGCTTTTCCTTTTCTGCGACTCGCGTGTACGTTCTTGAAACGATGCCGTACTTCTATAACGTGCGAGAATTCATGTGCTATATACACAACCCTCGTCGAACGTCGGTATATAAGCTGACGCATAATTCAGTGTTCAGTGACACGTGGCCCGCAGGCCGCATGCCTCCCGCGTGGCAGTATTATCCGGTCACCGACACATCTAAACTCCTCCCTACCCCTTGTAACTTCCAAGGCAGCTAAGATTCAGATGATCAAGCTGCAGAGCTAGATTCAGATGTATTTAACGAGGCATGCAACTATCTAAACAAGCTGCAGCTGAGCTGTAATAAACTGCAAAGTGTGAAGGTGGTGTGGGAAATATGGTTGGCTCTATAAAGCTGGTTTCATGGTGCATTAACTCCGAAATGACATGCCCAGGTGTTAGTGCCTCTATCCACTTTCATGTTACTAATTGGGAATCATTATGCACCAAAGTCATGCGTTCGGAGTCAGAAATGAAAATTGTTGTTCCTACCGTAAATTTCAATTGCAGGCACGGCTTGAACCATCCACTTTTAGCCGTTCTCGTCCGATACGGATATACTTACTATGGCTACATGTTGTATCACATTGAAGTTTAGAGTTTTGTGACGTTTTTTTTTTCTATAAAGGGGAATGGGGGAGGAGAGCCTCAAAGGGGTCGCAGTGTTTCTTCGTGAAAAAGTCAAACCACCAAAGAACCCGTTTGATGATATTGGATGATGATTGGGGAAAGCACACCACTCCCGCTCCCCTAAAAAAAAAAAGCCTGATATTACTGGAGTTAAAGAAGTGGTTCGAAGTTAGGTTCCTTGACTTTGAAAAATATTAGAGTAGCATCCGAATGTTTCAGAATCTAATTAAGATCGATTTCGAGGAGATTACAAGTAGGTACCAGTTGCAACTGTCGACTAGCAGACAGACGATGAGCTCAAAAATGCATTTGATCTAAAACAGACTGATGTTTTGCACTGGCCTAACAGACTAGACTTTTACGAGTTTGAAGAAGCTAACCGCAGCCATGGCAACAGTGTTTGGTAGTGCACATATTCTTACGAACACACTCTCGACAAAGATGTTCATGAAATCAAATTTGCGTTGCCGACTATAACCGATAAAGCCCTCCACAATTGCCGGCGCTTATCAGCCAGCAACCTTCATATAGATATTTGCGAGTTGGCTTAGAATGTTCAGCGCCAAAAGTCGCATTGAACGAGTGTTCTTTTTTTTTTTGTATGCCCTGCTTGTAACCTATGTTCGTAAATTGCAACTTTGTGACATGCGTGAAGGACGTAATTTCTATTCTGTTTTTTTACAACCTAAAGTCTACGTTGATGGGCTGATTTCAGCATCGGGAGCTACGTGGTTACCGTGGCCGTCGCGGTATGCCGCCACGTGCCGGCTTGCGCGCTCGCCATCACACTAAATGTAAGTCATGCGTTCGAATAAAAAAAAAAAGTGCTCATGGGTGTAACCACGGTGCACACCACGTCATTGATTAAGAGACCCATCTTTTCGTCTCCTTGTCATTCCGCTCCATGCGTCGCTTTCACCACGCTTACTATAAAGTAAAAATATTATATGATACTATAACTAAGTAGTACGAAAGGAGAAAGAGAGAAAGCGCTTGAAGTGTGTGACGAATTCCTGTAACTCCACTCGTACTTGACGGGTTTAAAGACTTTTATGGCAATCGATTCGCGAGGAGGTAGGCTCTTTTAAGGAAGTGGTTTCATGATTACTTGAAGAAAGTGTTGCAGGACCCCCTTCAATAACTTGACATTTTCTGGTGTTCATTGCGCATCACTTGCTCTCCCACCGTACAGACCATTGTCACCAGCTCGGTTTTAATACCTCTGTTTGACGCGCTCAACAGTATTTACTTTCTTGAAAAGAAAAAAAAGAAAGAACATGTGATCGGATAGCACATTTTCTAGAATTATGAGCCTTTTTGTGTGTGTATCGCTGAGAAAATCAACTAGAGCTTACTGTAGTTACACACAATGTTTAAATGTTCTTCACGATGTTTCTTCTTTACCGTGCTTGTCAAGTATTCCCGTAATGCGGGGTGGGGGGGCATCTGTCAGTGGCGCCATCTTTCGGTGGCAGTAACGGTGTCCTGCTATTCCGGAACGGCAAATAGGTAAAAAAAAATAATATCTCTTGAAAAAAGCTAGTTATCTAATACGACTCGGGGATTATACGGCGATGCCCAATCTAGGATTCTGGTAAAATTGCAGTATCAAGCTATAAGCGTGTGGCTTCGCAGGATAATTGAAGACCACCGATTCGAGTACATGGGGCCCCATTGGTATGAAAAAAAAAAAAACTTTATTTCAGTCCTGCAGGACGCGCTTAGCGTGTGGTGGGCGTATCCCACGTAGGGACCGACAGGCACATTGCTGGTCGGCGAGAAGTGAGCTCCTGAGGAACCACTTGTTTGAGGTAGAGTCGGGAGGAGTGTTTCTATACACTCCCAGAGCATGCGTGTGAGTGTCTCCGTGTGTCCACTATAATATAATAAACACTCTGGGAAGCCACGCGGTTTGTAGTGCGACATTATTTACACCATAAAACTCCAGTAGCTCTACGCTGCATGTAACCGGGAGTCGTTTTTGATAACTAGCTTTTTCCGTCAGATATGATTTTTTTTCTCCTATTTCCCATTCAGTTACGGCATGTTATCGTTGTCGCTGACTAGAGATGGCGCTACCTGCGCATGTCCGCAAATTCTGATGATGCTTCGTGGGGATGGTAGTTCAAGTCGTACAAAGTCACTTTTCAAACCGGGTCACTGCCAGTTTCCTTGTGTCAACGTAAGACAGGGCGCTCAACAAAAAACCACCTGATTGGTCATGCGTAATGACGTCGAAATGTGTCTGCACTCTCATAGCAGCTGAAGTGAGCCGGTGTGGATGACATAAAATTGCTTGTGAAGTGTTTGCGAAGGTAGGCCGTTTTTCCCGCCTGTAGAAACAAAAGCGTTTCCATTTGTCTTCTTCGCAGTGCATTTCCTGCTGCATCTAATTGTGAGAACGACTTGTACGACCGCGTCATAATGCACGCCGAACAATGTCCGAGTGGCAGAGCAATAACGTAATTATGCTAAATGCACATAATGGCTTAGCCGACGTCACGTTCGGCAGAGTTGAATCTTGAGTCGACTAAGGTTACACGGCGGGCTCGCTGGAGATCCATGGTATCCAGAGGTATAGCGCAAACAGGCCAGGACGACGCGAGTGACACATAAACACACTTAGCACATTGTGTGTTTGTGCTCATGTGTCATTCGCTTTGTTCCGTCTTGGAAGCACTATATCTTTGGATGCTGAATCTCGAGCCGCAAGGTCTCGTTTCAAGGCTGATGTGACACCTTTCGCGACGCTCAAGTCAGATGAAATTATGTGTATGGGTAAGACCGCTATATTGTGGAAGTGGGAACTTATCTATGTATTCACGATGCTTTGATGCAGGCCAATGAGAAAACTGGAGTGATATTGCGGTGGTTTTCACACCATGCTTTAAATTTCATGCGCAATAAAATTATTTTCATGATGTGCAGTTGTGCCTTCGCTACACTTCAGAAATGTACACCCAGAAATATATAACTCAAATATATGTTCGTACGTTTGTATGTATGTGTGTGTGCGTGCATATAGATATGTACAGAATACAAAAAAAAAACGGGTGTGATGAGCAGTTCAAACACCTCCTACTCCTCCCTACGACACCTCTAACTACACCAGTGCTATACTTCTCTGAGCACCACGAGAAAAAGCGCAGCACAATTTGTGGTACTTCTAGTCACGAGTTGTGACGTTAACAGAACAGTCCACCAGTTAAGGTTAAAATTACCATCACATTGCTTATAAAAACAGCGCTAAATTCATCATAAGCATCTCACAACATCAACTCACGAGGCACAATTGTTGGGATTTTCAATGAATTTATTGGCGTGGATAACACAATCGTCACAAACATACTTTGTAATAAACAACGTTTACATAGAGGTGATAATAAATCTGAAAAAAATATTCATCGCCTAACATATCTCGCTCTCAGTATGTACAAAACAGTCAAATACCACAACGATGGGGGTTAAATTTTCATTTTGATAAGCTCAATTCGTACCCACCTCTCTGTGCTGTTGGGGATAACAAAGTTCAAACGACAACTGCGATTATTAATGCCCGAACGGGTATCGTCAACGTGATGAGTATGTGCATGCATGGCGGAAGAACAGAACAGAATGTTGGTGAAATATGACTGCAGAGAGGACAACTGATAAAATAACAATATAAAACAATGAAAAAGAATCGTGGTTGGCTAGCACTTCATCTCAAGAATGGAAAAGAGAGTGACTCGGCTATTGATGTTGATCGAAGAAATATTGAAGTATTGTCGATTGTACTTGGCTTGAGGTGAAAAAATTTGCGCAGTGGCATCCGTGATTAGCTCCGGAAACGTGCCGTACGCTAGACCAGTTCATTACGCAGCTATTACACATTGCTTGTAGTTTTCTATTCGCTACTTTTAAAAAGCAAGATCATTATTATTATTCTCACGAAATTCCCCGCTGTGTGAATTTCTTTTAGTCGTATTATCTTATCTCCGGCGAATCACTTACTAGTGACATAACACGTTCTAACTTGACCTTTTTTTTTTCAGTGAAAAGCATGAAAAATTTTTTTATTCTTCTTCAACTGTGCATAATCAGAGCAAGCATAGAAAGAAAGCTTGTGATACATTTCGATTATGTTTTGGCCCTCTGACGTAACACCGAGATCTCTATCGTGTGACTAAAAAGATGCATCGTGTAAAACATCACAATCTCCGTGCAAAACACTGTCTAAACGTTCACCCATGCACACTTATTAAGGTTGAGAAGCCACAAGGAAAACGGAAGTCAATAAGGCGCATAAGGTCGAGCTCTCACGGATATACATGTAGATGTACGTAATCTCGCACATGTAGGATGTTAGGTAAGATATACTTCGGATCATCATGCGCTGTGGTACATATGTCCACATTAAAAACACACAAAATACAAAATACGCAAAATAAAAAAATACTTTTTCTCTCAACGTTCAACATCTTTACAGATATGCGGGTGTCTAGATATACTTTCATGTGCAGCGCCTATATCTGTTAAAAACAGCGGTATTTACATTAGCAGTTAGTTTTAAACGCGTCGTGCCCGAAACTTTCAAGGCGATCTACGCATATGCAGAACTTATTTCCTCTTGTGAAGACGATCCACCCTACGAGTCACGCTCAGAATACTCAGTTACACTGATGAAGTTTTCCACATGGGGGATCGACTTACAATGTGCGATGCATGGAAGGGTCGATAACTTGGCGAATATGTTACTAATCGAAAATCTTGATTGCTTCTTTTAATAAAAGAGCATACCTAACTATCTAAGCTGTAGACAAAATGCAAGTTCTGCACTTTTCCTGTCTATTGTTTCTTTCTGATTCCGCAACATACCTTTTTTGAGACACAATGACACGTGCCCGCTAGTTCGCCCACTTGATTGGCGGCGCTTATTTTGTGCCGTTCATGTGTTCGTGTGGTCAGTTAGCAAAGAGTTTTCTACAATATTCGCAGTAAAGAACTTTGGCGCTGCGATCGCTCAGCCCCCATGGGTTAGCACTTGGATTTGCCTATCTTAGTGCTTGAGGCTTCGAACGAACTCGTGACTTGGCCTTATTGTTCTGTTTCGGTCTTTTGTTCCGGATAAAAATAATGAATCGTTGTGAACTTCGTGAGCCTTTTTTTGAATTTGTGAGCCTAAAAAGGATAAAGTGCGACAGCTGAAGTTCGTTTGGTGACAAAGCGGCTACAGTCCGCACGGAGCGCACGGAGCGCAACAGAGCCGGAAGAACGACGTTTAGACAAAGACAAATCCATGTACTACCCATCATTCTCGCGCTCTATCTGAATCGTCTTGCGTTGCGGCTCCCATAGACACTAGCGCCAAACTTTCCCCTGGTGTGCTGTCGGGAAACTCTACGGTGGTTAGTGCGTGCTCAGCTGCTTCCGAAGGTGCGGAGCAGCACGAGTGACGCTGCTGCCAGCAGCACGGCGGCGGATGTTTTGGCGACGCAGCCGCTGCATCGGTACGCGTTGAAGTCCCTGCACTCGTAGTCTAGCTCTCTTGTCTGCTGGTAGAGGATGTTGTCGATGACCGAGCTGCCGGCGTCTCGGCACTGGTCGTGCAGTACCACCTTGATGCACTCCCGGTAGGCTAGTGTGGCGCTGCGAGTGCATGAAGACAGTGTATGGTGAAAACAATGTAGACTTAAGAAAAGGACATCGATAACCAGACGTTTGTAGCACGAAGTCACTAAGAAATCCGCTCGGATTTATCAGGGATAAAGCCTTTTAGTTGCCGAAGAAGAAGTTTGTTCAGGTTCGGAAATATAAACCAGGATCAACACCGTTTCGGGGCAGTCGCTGCTCCAAATGAGCTTCCACCATCTTGCGGGACTCCGCAGAACTGGTTTGCGAGGCCGAGATATGCCGGAAAGCGTACAATGTGTTCAGTGCATCTTGATCTGTTACCCTACATGAAACGTACTTAATCATCACGTCCAATGTCATTCATTTAATTTTAGATAATGTTACCGACACCCCCTCAATCCACCCGATTTAATGAACGGCAATAACGACGATGATGTCAAAGTGAATTCAAGATACAACTGGTCTCGAGTGGTGCTCTGGTCGCACAACAGAGCGCGGTTGCATGGCCACTGTATGCACAGGGAACTTCCAGCAGTGGTTCTTGAATAAGATGTGGTTAATTTTAATTACTTTTGAACAGTGCCAACGCATCTTGACTATTCACTGTTATAACAGTGTAAACGTCACGTCCTCTTAAGTCTGACCTGGACCAACGATATGGTTGTGCACTGGAAGGACAAGCAGCAACTCACCAGCAAGTCTCGCGAACCCGGTCATCCGAGTGGTATCTCCTGGCATTGTACTGTCGCCTCTGGTGCTCCCGGGAGCAATCTTGGATGTATTCGGTGGCTCGAAGCATGCAGTACGAATCTGGTTCGGTGGATAGAAGTACACGACAACTGTGGTGAGGAATAATACTCAAGGCAGATGATGGAGGTTCGCGTTGCACGTGTATAAAAAAAAATCTGCAATTCGTGTATATGTGTTTCTGACTGGAAAACACTCTAAGAATGATACACAAAGCGCCGACCATAATATTGAATATATATACGGTTTTAGTAAATGAAAGAGCATTATTTAAAGGTCGTGAACGCTTGCGCGACGTGCGATGTCCCGCCTAAGCGGCGGCCAGGAGTTGTTGAATCCTGACGACCTCCACAGCTCACTGGAGAGCGAAAAGTTTATCGTCAAAAGCAGAGCTGTGCAACTGTCTCCTAGCACGTAGAGACGATCGTTAGATGCTGCTTCCACGGTATCGCTCGCTATCGTTCAGCATTCCATATCGCACGCTTTCGTTGTGGTCAACCCTGAAAAGCTAAAGTGGATACATTTTTCATTCATTACAATTTAATTTTATCGTTGCTTTGATAATCAGTGTTATATTCCCTGAATATACGCAATTCGGTTATACTTTCGACATTAAGGTATAGACGTCCGACACTTGGGTGAGCTGCTGAAGTTGTGTTAATGAACGTGGGAATTACAATGGCGAAATAACTTGAGGTATTAGTAAATAAATGAGTTAGTCATTCTGTGAAGTTAGGTGAAATTCAGTTTTGCATCTTGCACGAATAGGTAAAATAGCAAAACAACGTTAGCAAGTCTAGACGAATTAAGTTTCTTTTTTTTCTCGTACATTAATGCCGCACGTAGGCAGACATGACAGCCTTGCGCGCTGTATGCTGTATGAAACGATAGAAAACGTAAGTGGACAGGATGAATATGCAAGCATGCAAAGAATGTACTAAAAAACATTGAAATTCACGTCTCTTGCTACCTTTCCAAATAAGAAGAAACCTATACGTGAAAGAACTTGCGTTAACCTAAGTAATGTGCTCTGGGGGCTATAGTTGATTCGACTCTGAGACTATATACAATAAATGTGCGTGGGCGACGGAACACAACAAGTTGACAAGACAGGCGTAGTTCTGTCAACTTCTACTTGTGTCACTTCTACTTGTGTTTCGTCCGCTGCGCTGCTTCATTTTAGTTTTGATTGGCCTTTTGAGTTTTGATTTTAGTTTTGAGTGCGAACTAGAGCACGGAATTAGGGCCTCTTATGGTGAGGACATTTTTTCTGGACCAGTGCGTATCGCTGATAAAGCGTCTTAATTTTTTGCACGTGTTTTAACGATGCATGGCCACACATTAACGTTATCTCGTCTAACGATATCTCGTCTGGTCGCATGCCGTGGGCAATCACATTTCCGATGTACGTGAAAACGCTATAGTCCCGTGTACTTAGGCAAACGTTCAAGAATCCCAGGTGAGAGAAATTTCCAGAGCCCTCCACTAAGGCCTATACTTCATAAAAATAAATAGGTTTTGACACATCAAACCTCGGCAGTCACTGATTGATATGTGGGGTTTAACGTCCCAAAACCACTATAGAACCTCGGCAGTCATTAAATAACTGAAGTGAGTGCACATAACGGCGAATGCTGGTGCAGATTGTACGAAAGAAATTTCACCATTGAAGCATTGTGCGCTTGTATATTTTTTTTCTTCTGTTAATAGCCGTCGCTTCTTTTTAACGCCTTTCTTTTAGGCTGCATCTCCGGAACATTAAGGTCGCTGACGCTAATTTCCAGAAAGGTATTTACGACAGAATATTCATGAGTTCAGAGTGTTGAATTTGCAAGCAGGCTTGCGGCTCGGTGGTAGAACACGGGCTTGCCAGGCTAACTTCACTCAGACATGCGTACACGTTTCCTCACTCAGACATGCGTACACGTTTCATGATAATGATGACTTGCCATCTGTGAGACACACGGCAAACTTCAACCATAACAATCACGCTCTAATCTTTAATAATAAGGTCGTAAACAGTCCAGCACTACCTCCGGCGTCAATAGTACGGGGACGAAGTGAAGAAACGAAGTGACAGACAAGTTGCGCCCCTGTCTGTTGTTCACTTCGTCCCAGTACTTTTTGCACCGTGTCTGTTTTTTTTCTTCTTTAGAATGAACCAAACAGCTCAGCGACAAACCCTGGTAACTTGAAGATTACACAGGTGCAATATTTCCAAACCTAGGGGAAAAACGAGGTGCTACAATGAGGTGCTACTACAGCCCCAAGCGTGAGTGAGTGAATGTTCGGTAATACGAGAAGCCAAAGGCGGCAGTGGTTGGTGCAATGTGGTGGAGGTGTGTGAAGGTATAGCGTACCCTCGTTGGAAGAAGACGCCTTAGACGAGGGCGAGGAAGCGGAAACGGCCGAGAAATTGTATCGGTGCAGTGGAGCCAGTGGCAGCGGGGGGCTCGTGGATGAGGTCCCCAGGTACCGAGGAGGGTAGTAGGCCGGGGCTGGGAAACGGGGGAGGGTCACAGGTCATGCGGGAGCGAGGAGCATGCGTGCTGTTTTCAAGGTCAGACGTTTAACTGTTCAGCACGTACAGCGAAGACGGCAAGGCAACCATGGAGGACGAAATGAACTAGGAGAGAGCATTACGTCACGCAGCCAGGCGAAACTCTGCTCCGAGTCACCGCCTTCCACGATGAACTGGGAGTAGCGCAGAACAAGCGGAAACTATTGGTTAATAGGTCACGAGCGCTTACTCGAAATAAGTCTACTGAACGATTGAAGGAAGCAGGAGGCAAAGACAAACACCAGCCAACTGCAGCAGTCGTCCAAACCGAGCATTCGTGACTTACTTGAAAACCACGTGGAGTGCACGTGGTCCGCATGAGACGACGAATGCCCTGTTCTGGCAACTGTGCCCATAAATTCGTGTTGACGAGTCCTCATTCTGTTCTAATCAATAAATGTCAATTGAGAGTAAGCACTCGTAGCGCCCGGTCTAACTGCGTGTTTCTGTAGCTACGTGTGTATCATCATGGAAACGTACCAATATCAAGTTTTCTCCTTTCTCTTTTGTCGTGCCTGCGCAGCTTCGCCTCATCACGTGACCTTCGAGGGTAGTCTTTTGGCCGAATATTTTTGTCCGTTGGATACGTTCGTCCACTACTTTTTTTTTTCTTTTGACTTCTTCCTCTCACTTCAGCCACGTTACACGGTATGCTCTCTGCCAGCTTTCCATCTTCCATGCTAGCGACCCCATGATTCGAACCGGAGCCGAGTGCAGGAAGCGACACGTTGTGGAGCTGTCATCAAACGTGATGCTCTATATGGCACAGCTATAGTTTTTTGAATCACTCTTCTTTCCAAATGGAAAAGCTACCGCAATCGCTTTACCCACGATCGCATCGCTGGCGAGTCTAGTTAGTGGCAAGTTTTCAAAAATGCCTCGCACGTTTTGTTTGAACAAACCGCCACAAGACGTCGCTACCAGTGCTCCTGTTTCTCAACATTTCTCTTTTTCTCTTCATTCCGGCACACGTCTCCGCTGTGCGCTAAACTTTCTGCTCTTCCTAAAGCTCGCTCACTCATGTCATAGCTAACAAAACAAGATAAGTGAACATATTCCTTATTTTACATGTCCAATAATCCCCTTGATCACACAAAGGCTTCGGCAATGGGTACAAAGCGGGTACTTGCCCCCTCTCAAGCCAAAACAGCACTTGCCCTCGCCCAAGCTACACCAACACTCGCTTCTTCCTCCCGCTGCGAATCAATACAGTTTTGCACCATCTAAGACAAAATCCTGCCGACGGCTAGACACAGTCTCGTGCGATTACATCAAGCAAATATGAGAGTGCAGAACAGGGCGCGGAAACGAGAAAATGGGATTATTGAACATGAAGGTTATGAGATTAGGGAGTCTCTTTAACTCTATTCTATCAGTAGATGTGGGGTTAATTGAAGACGCTGTGTGCTGGAATTTTATCACATACTTTGTGCTATCACATGCCTTCAAGTAAAGCAGTGCGAGCGAACATGTGGACACGTTAAAAAGCTTTTTAAAGTTAATTAGTTTTCTGGCGACTAAAACTTAGTGGCTAAAATACAAAAAGTATTCTGTTGTTATTTGTTGCATCGTGGTTGTTATTGAAGTGAAAAGCTGTTTCATAACTTTTAGCGCGCATCATGTAAGCAGTTGGAGTGTTACCCATCGCAGCTACTACCTATAGGGCTTTATTTAGGAGAAATGATCTTAAAGAACTTGATGAACGAGTGCAGGTGTGTACCACGGCAATTAGCTAGGTGAGACTGAACAAGCTTGATAACCATAAATACATTGCTAATGATTAAACTTGCGTGATGGTTTTCATTGTTTAGCTGGTATATTTCACTTGCATTGTTGAAATACAAGTTACAATTATCAAATCGAAACTATGCCATCATCTCGCACACTTCTCCGTCAGTACGCTACTATGGCTAGTACTGTCTGTCCTAAAGACAAAAATTCAATTTACCAATAGGAAAGACAGAAAACATCAGCTACGTACGACTCATGTAACTGTCACCCGTTATATTATAATACACGTTAACTTGGAGATGAGAATTGGTGGTCGCAGAGTGTCGATGCAGCCGACGTTTCGACAAGCGCGGGTCTTGATCTTCTTCAAGGCTGCAAGGTTGTAGGCGCGAGGACGACTTGTTCGCTTGTCGAAACCTCGACTGTTTCGACGCCCCGTGTTCACGAAACTTCTCGTCCCTTAAAGCGTCCCCCTTCCCTTGATCTTCTGCCCATTTTGCACTTGTTAATGTATGAGGATAAAGTTGTTGCTGCAATCCAAAACGAAGCATTGCTCCGAGCTACAGTTACAAAAGAAGGGAGCAGGGGGATAAAATAGGAGATAGGAGAGACTTCCAGTGGAAGTCGGTATAGGGCAGGCGTACTCTTGAATGAAAACTATTTCCTACTTCTCCAGTCGAGAACCAGCAGAGTCTCCACTCACGTACCTTGCGTGTAGGGGGCGTAACCGCCGGCTGATCCCGATCGGTAGATGCTGTGCACGTCTCGTGCCTCTCCGGAGGTGGCTCCGCACTGCCAGCTCAGTTCCCGCGCTCGGTCCACCAGGTAGGAAGACAGCTGACGCTCCTCCTCCACGGAACACCGGCGGCCGGCCACGTCCTTGACGCAACGCTTGAACGCCACGTAGCTTCTGCACGTGCGACATAGGTCGAAGGGGAGATGTTGAATAGACACTAAAGAGCAGAACGATTTTTCTCATATCAGTCACTATTTAATAACAACCAAATGGCCAAGCATTTTACAAAGCATAGAGTTTCCTCAGATTAACTTCAAGGAACTGTGGCACTGCGATCATGCAGCCACCATCAGAATGACGGGTATATATACCCATCATTCCCATCATTATGGGTATATATACCCATCATGATGGGTATATATACCCATCAGTTATAGTGCATATTCTAGGCATTGTAGTGTAGGGGACGGATTTGCCTGGTCTTCGTGCTTGCGTGCTTCGAACGCACTTGTGGATTCGTTTATTGTTGTTTTGGTTTTGTTTAGATCAAACGAACGGAGCGTCGTCAACCTCGTCAGCCAATTGGAATGGGTGTGTCTTTTAAAAAAGTCGTGGTGGTGATGCGTAACTGCTGATCTCACGCTGAAATTTTGCTGAATTTCACCTTGTGGCAAAGCGGATTCGGGTCACACGAAGTCATGCGGAGCGGGAGAAAACAAATAATAGACAAATCCGTGTGCTAACCATCATTCCCATGCTATGGCTGGAGCACCGTGCGATGCAGCTCCTATGGACACTAGCAACAGAGTTTCCTCTTGTGTATTTGTAGGAAACTCTTTGCTACCAAGCATCCTCTCGCTTGCTGCGAAAGAATGCTTCATAAAAAAAAAACAAACAAAAATCACACGAAAATATAATGCGCTTGGTGGCGCCGCACTAATCTCCGTGACGTCATAGAACTTGACAGCATCCACTATAGGTCCTGCGTAGTTCCTGACCGGTAAATATGAAGTGCACTGTCTTCTGAAGGGGCCGCGCACTAAGTGCACAAAGTTTCAGAAACTTTAACCGTGCCAGTGTGTTCCAAATAAGATTAAAGTATTTTGAAATCCATCACGTCATGTTCGGACATTTCGGTGCGAAATTAAAAAAGAAACATTAATTTTCATTATCTTTTTTATTAATGAGCTTATAATGAAAAAAATTAACGACATGTTAGCTTTTCGAGCACAATTTATGAATCTAAACAGTTTAATTCTTCCACGTTTGTGTTCCTTTAATTTCATCGTCAATAGAGGGTAATCAAGGTCAACGTTCCATGCCTAAATTTAGCGCAGGGAACTCTGCGTGGTACTTCAAAGCGTAATCGTGCTTTGGTGACATTTCGTCAAATTAGGTATTTTAATTCTCTGGCTCAACCAGAGGTCAATGTGTTTTACTTCAATTTACCGATCAGAAACTAGGTGGGCCCTCGCCTTGAAGATATATAAGGCCACGGTGGAGGCTGCTGCAATCTCGAGGCGCCGCCGCCACCCAGATTTCTTTTTTTTTTTATGCGCGCTTCCTCGTTTACAAGTTATCTTCGTGCGGCAAGCGTAAAAACTTTGGAATTGTGAAGGTGTAATTTGCTGATACGAAAAAAAAAATCACTTTTATCGGAAACGCAGCATTGCGCGACCCCTTTAGCGAAACACAACTGGCGAATAAAGTGGTACAAAACTAATTTCACACATGTCCCTTTAATGACGTCATGCTATGACGTCACTACGCACTGCCATGGCATCACTTATCTTTGAAATTTGTGAAGTCATCACGACATCATAGTGTGACGTCATCGATGACATCACTTGCTCGAAGGTGGGCTGATCGCGCTGGCACAAATGTATTTGATACCTGTGGTATGAATTGCATTCCGCAGGCATCTATTGTATTGATACCTATGGTATACAGTTGTAGAAACCAATCTGAGGTGCAGGAAACTTCAGTGGCAGGGAGTAGGGAAGAACAATGCAATAGACGGACAACGTACATTAACGGTGCCACTGGCAACGCTGGCAAAACAACTACTTTTGAACACGGGGCCGTGGAATCGATTGGCGGTAATGGTGGTGGTATGTTAATAGGGACAAAATTCCCCCTCCCCGCCACACACTCAAAAATAACGAAAAATGCTGCACTTATAATTATGTGGACGTCAAAGAATTCTAGTAGGTCAAGAATAATTCTGAATACCTATTTACAGCTTAGCTCATAATTATGTCGTAGTTTTGGTTGGACGAGTAAAATCCCAGGATACATATTTCGTCACGGGGAGAACCGTTATTGATCACTGAAAGCTCACCACTTCGTGGGAACGCTTTGCCTCACAAATGGCGTGGCGATTCTTTATCTTTTCTCTCGACTTCGTTCAGCCAGGAGCTAAACTAATTATTCGTAGAGACGCCGACAGAGAGAACCGCGCTAATGAATTCTCGAGCTTCGGGACAACGTCGTCCCGACATCCGCGGAGCGGCCTGAACGGTAGCGGGATCATAAAGAAGAGATTGCTCAGTGCGAGGTGGTCTCGGGGCAAAGGAATGCTCCTGTCCTTGGAATATAAAGCGTTTCCGTGACGCGCCCAAGATGGGTGCCCCCGCCTATAGCAGACACTGGCAGTTCCTCCTGCGGAGGTAGTCGTCGGCAGGAGTTGCTGAAAACCCGATGGGTGTCGGCCAAAGCCGCACTCACCGACACGAGTCTGCCACGATGGACGCCTTGCCTCCGGCCACGAAGTTGGCTTCGCACTGCTTCACGTCGTCGTACTGGAAGCAGCGGCTCACGCGCCATCCTGCGCATGCGCACAATGTGTGCTCGTAAACTGTTCCCTTGCAAGCCCGCAAGTTTTGCATTCTCGAAACAAGAGAGAGAGAGAGAGAAACAAAGGCTGGCACCGTATACGATAGCAGTGAACAAAGAGCACTCATTGCCCAAATACACTGGGCTGATGGAAATCACAGCGCAGCTCGGTCTTGAAAATCGGGCACATCATAGCGTTCAAATTATTCACGGACACATTTACTCACTCACGTGCTCACGATCACACCCCACAAAAAGCCCTCCTAATTTTCGAGATTATATTTAAAATTTTTCATGATGACTACCAACTAACCCAACAGCAAGTTTCAACAAGCACACTGCAGCTAGGCTTCACTGTTAGGTGACTTTGAGGACCTTTCCACAACATTTCATCTCCATGCCTATTCAAAAAAAAAGGGGGGGGGGTGGAGGGGGGTTACAAGAGAGAGATAAGAGGGCTTGCAGCCTCCAAACCGGTATTTTCCCTGTAACAGCCATCCACTGGTTGATAGAGATTGCGGAAGTGCGGTGTGGTTGAAGTTGAAACCTCATATCTCCTCTTGCATTATATTCTTTCATCCCCATCTTCTCTTCCAGGCGGTTTACTTACGGTGGCCACCCGCGGTTCGGACCCTTCGATGGGCTGTTGAAAATGGTGTAGTTTGTTCTTTTCTAGTGCCCACTCCCCTTTACTTCTTGGAGAGCGCAGATATTCTGACTAGAAAGTAAGAGATGTCGTTAATATAATGAAGTAATGAGCTTGTCACTAATAAAAAGAGCTTTATTAAAAAGAAAAGAAGCAACTGGGTTTCTTCTAGCTGGTCGTGAGAAGTTTTCCACCTTGTCTACAAGACAAAGAAAAGAAAATTGACGTGATGAGACATGTAACTCGCAGAACACTAGCTAGTTGAAATTCGCGTGGTTGTGTCGCAATTATAAATAATAGGCGTGTGTGTCTCACGTAACAACTACTCACTAGGAAGTCTTATTACGTCTGGTGGTTTAAACAAAAGACGAGGCCGTTTATAGTACGAGTGGCGATGGTGGCTAAGGACTTCCTGAATGGAGTTCTATTTTTGTAGCAGGAGTTCATTAATGAACACGGGATAACAAAACATAAATATGACGATTAGTGGAGCATGAACACACTATAGATATGCCAGGGCTTGGCGCATGACCTTCGTCTGGCCTCCAGGGTTGCAGCACCCTTGGGCAGTGGCATAGCCGGGAGGTGGCACACCAAACCTATGCCTTCTTCCTGCCCCCGAAATTTTTTTACCATGACATACAGAGTGAAAAATAACCATATAAAGCCCCCCCCCCCCCCAATCAAGAAGCCCCCCCCCCCCTCTCCGAAAAAGAAAAATTCTGCCTATGCCACTCTGGCTTTGGTACAGTATCAAGATATTATTAATGGTAACACGACTTAATAAGGAGGGCTGAAAAATGACAATGATGATGTGCCGAAGGAGAAGGAGGAGGATATAAGTTACTACCAACACACAAACACAAAGCACCATTCAGCGTCCAGTCAGTCGATATGGTTTCTATGGATTGGTCTGTTTCGAGAAGCACGACAAGGCTTCTCTAGAATTGCACTCCGTTGGTTCTTCACTTGTGATAACAATGTTATATTTCATGCTTTGCTTTTACTTTTTCAGTGTCATCTTTGCCGAAGCACCTTGTTTGATGGAGCATCTTGCTTGTCATATCTGTAATTACGCACAAGAATATCAAGTTGGGAAAAAAAGCAATGCGGGTGCTCAGGTATTGAATTCACAACAGTTTTCCATCGCGCGACTGTTCAAAGAGAATTTATGTTTGCTGGTGCTGCGGCTTCAAGCTACAAAAGAGCTTCAAAGTTACAAGAGATCTTGGGGAACCTTGTACATTTAGGCGCGCCGCGAAGCATCTCGACGTCTCGGTTTGTCGGCTTCTGATGTGATGGTGTGTCATGTAGTCGCGGTCCATCATAAACGGTTGTGCTCCACAAAAATTGGGTCTATTATACACTCCTCGCCCCTGGTCCACTGAAAGTGGCAGTTATTCCAACAAATAGCCGATCACGTTAGTGGAGCTCAAACAGACATTTTTACATTCCGCAGGGACCTGACACCGGGAATGTAGGGATGAAGAAGGAAAAAAAAAGCACCTTAGGAAAAGCTGCATACCAACGCAGTTTTTCCGACGATGTTAGTGAAGCGGAAACACCTTTCCGTAGATGCCCACTTTCAAGCTTGGCACTGTTAGTTCCTCGTCAAAGAAATCTCACACACAACACCGCGTTCTTCGCCCCTACTCGTTTTTTTTTAATTTTTCTGATTCCACCTTGCCTAGCTCCATTTCTATTTTTCTCAATTGCATCATTTTCAAGGTAACGCGTACATGTCCTACGAGGTGAAATACGAGCAGCGGTGGGTTGGCGTGCTCCTTCCTTTTCCTTCGGAAATTTCGACAATAAGATAACACCTCCGTTTAAGGATCGTACCAGACCTGAGACACTTACCTCCGTCCAAATCACACGATCGGTCCAGGAAAGACTTCGCGGACAGTATGACGTCCCCACTCTTGTCCTGCTGGTCTCTTGACTGGCAGTTGGCCGAGTGCCACATCAGGCAAGCCATGTTGTCCCGAACTGACCTGTAGTTCACGCGAACAGGGCATCCTTGATCACTTCGAGGCGATAAAGTACACGCTATTTAATGAACGATACGTCGAGTATCATTCTTATTGAGCGGTGTTTACGTTGTCGACATTCTGAGTTGTGCTCTTGTTCCTCGAATAATATCGCGCCTGCTCCCGAAGTTTCTGAAGAACGTAAACTTGGTTTCTGTCGAGGTACGAGTAGATTCTTTTATTGAAATGATATAATAGGAGAGCTTAAAGCCATTATGGCAGCACTGGCTACTCCTCCTCGTCTAGCAGGCAAAATATATAATAAACAATAATAAGGGCACAAAGTGCAATAGCAATAGATTCGAACACGAGTTGTTAAAATACAGCATAACTGAAGATCTGTGACAGTACAGAAACGTCAAATAGGATCACATGTACACGAGTATTGTAGTACAAGTTGACGGTCAATCTATTGTAGTACAAGTTTATGGTCAAGACGGTCAATCTAAAATATTCTGTATTGTTGACATACGCAGGAAAACGCACTAATACAAGTAACTATGTATTTAAAAAAACGCACTATAAAAAATTAAACGCACCATCACAACATTAAACATTTGCTTTGGTATGAAGAGGAAGGCAACATCGTATACAGTAAGTCAATATTTCCATAAACTATGTTATTCAAGAAACTTCTTTTAGGTGTCGAGCGCTCTTTCCTAAAGACCACCGTTGGCCGTGGACTTAGTATTTTCTTTACTGTGAAATGTTTTTTTTTATCTGAAAGTAGCAAGCTTGCTCGTGATACTTTTTTTAGTTTTAATTCCTTTATATATTTTTTTCACTAGAGGAGTCGATGATGTATTGTACATCATCAGGGTGGCCGCTAGAGCACTCAGTGCTAGACGCACGTTTCATCCTGTGTAGGAAGTGCCATTTGCCTTGTATAGAAACAACACTTGTATCAATCCTAAGATACCTTTTCTCGTTCTGGAAGTGTTTAAATTAGTTATCGAATAAAGTTGCTTCTGTCACTGTGTCTAGGTGTGTGCCTAATAGGTATTTGTTCAATACCCATTGTTGGAATAATGCAACAGTAGTACACCATGGGATCTGTCTTTTTTTGTGATTCATGATGGAATTCCAGCCTTGAAGAAGAAGACGAGCCCAATTTTCCAAGCGTCGGGTCGAGCACACAACCCATGTTTATTATTTTTTTTACATTGCGAGCTTCCACCTTCCCTTTCTGTCGATTTTTATTCAATTTTTTCGTGAGTACAGAAATATGTGAGTTGAGAATTAATTTCTCAATTTTATCCCTAATAGCCGAGTGGTAACCAGGTCAAGTCGGCGTCTATACACCACGTCTGAGCCAATTATAAATAATTAAAAAAGAGAAAAAAGTGCGGGGATATGAACGGAATGTATAATCATATTGCATTACTGCGTTTTCTCACCGGTTTTCAAGGTACTTTGAAGCAGGTGTGCCACGTGCACACACAAAACGAAAAAAAAAAAAAGAGTACTGCTCACCTGCAGAGGTTGGTGATCTCCTGGCCCCTGAAGCTGCGGCTTTCCTGTCGAACTTGTCTCATGACGTCATCGCGGCATTGGGCCGCTCTCTCCAAGCTGCACGTCTGGGCCGAAGCCGGTAGAATGTCTGCGAAGTGGAAGGTTGGCAATCATTAAGTGGACAGTCATTAAATTGCGGGTTCGTTATCGTAACAAAATCGTGCAGCGATTTATGAGGGGGGGAGGGGGGGGGGTTCCGGATTAAATTTCGCGATCTGAATTTTTTTGTGCGCATAAGTCCAAGACCACAAGTGCTGTTGCAATTCACCCTCCTCAAAATGAGTCCATGGCTAGACGAAGTCGAACCTGTAACTTTGTGCTCAGTGGCAGAAATTTAACGGGCATGCGAACATCAACATGTACTCAAGCGAAGTCAGCAAGGTAAGATTGCCCGTCGAGAAAAATTAAGCGTGAATAAAAAATTTACTACTTTAGTAGATATATTTTAAAATATAACTGAAATTTATGTCAGCTGAATCTCGCGCTGACAGCATTTGACCTGTAATAACTCCAGAACTGTGCACTGTATAACTATAACAAACAGAGATTAACGTTTCATAACTATGATGTGATTGTGAGAGACACCGTAGAGGAGAGTCCCGGAAATTGTAACTATCTGGTGTTCTTTAACCAGCACTGACATCACACAGTATACGGGCCCCAATTATTTCACCTCCATCAACTTTCAAGTCAGCAGCCGAGCACATTAACCACTGCTTCACTACTGTGCCCCTTCCCCCACACGTTTGCTGTGGAACGCGAGATTTCTGAGACAGCAAGATTTGCACTTTGTGTGTGTGTGTGTGTGCCGCTAATCTGGTTACAAAAACAAGCTCTGCGTGTAATTAGTACTTGCTCCTCAGTACATTTTCCTTCTTATACTCTATTTCAGAGACTGCGTATACTGGCGTTTACAGACGTACGCATTTACAAATGTTCTGCATAGTAAATAGAATAGTAAACACAAACAACCCCTTGCCCCATGACATTTTAACAATTCCGTCGCTAAGCATATGTTACGCAAGCTTCGGTAATGTGTATGGTGAACTACTAATACAATTTGCTGGTGCAAAAATGTGGTAGAGTTGGCCACTTCAGGTAAAAGTCGTAAGAAAATTTGATGCTATACCTGCAAACGATACTTAGTTTGTAACCAGACATTTTGGGTTTTAATTGGCCCCTATAAGCTTTTTTTGCTTATATAATTAGTTTGCTCCTAGTATTTAGGTGGTTCGTTGTTTCTTTAGGATGGCCCTTTGAATATGTTTGGTATTTTATGTAAGATATTTTTATTACAATGTTTTAACAATTATTACCTCTTATTTTTCTAAAAAGTTGTTATGTATATGTAGTATCTTTGTTGTTTTCAGTACGGTTCTTTCAATAGGTATAACATTTGTTGCCTCTCATTATGCTTTCGGTATTGTTTTTTTTTTTTTCGTGAAGACTGCTAACTTGCATTGGACCCATCACTAGCCGCTTAGGCTATGGGACCAAATATTTGTGTACACATTCTTCACATTATCGTGCCATATATTCCCCTTCTCATTTATCCGGCCCCACCGCAGTGGTCTAGTGGCTAAGGTGCTCGGCTGCTGAGCCGCAGGTCGCGGGATCGAATCCCGGCTGCGGTGGCCGTATTTTCGATGGAGACGAAAATGTTAGGCCCGTGTGCTCAGATTTGGTTGCACATTATAAAACTCCGGGTGGTTAAAATTTCCGGAGTCCTCCACTACGGCGTCTCTCATAATCATATGGTGGTTTTGGGAAGTTAAACCCCATATATCGTGATCATCATTTAATCCGTTCTGTCTGTCGTGCATTTTACCGAGACTGGCTGCTATTGTTTTGTTTTTAGATTACTATTTTTTGCCTATTCATTATTATTTTCTTGTTGCTCACTGTCTACATTGCAGATAAAATGATATTGCTCTAGCGCAGCTCAGTTTCAGCGCGAAGAAAAGATGGTATGATGCAAAGAAAGGGAAAAAGACAGACGACAGTGTGAGCGTCGTCCCCCCCTTCTTTACTGCATTGCATCTTTTGTTCACGCTCAAACTGAGCTGCGCTAAAGCAATGTCATTGTATCATGAACCATCTCGCCCTGTCAGTAGTACTTGTCGACTACATTGCATCCTTCAACTCAACAAATGAAGACGTAAGAAGTGAATCTTGAGCAGAAAAATAGCATCAGCACTTTTGAAACGCGCTTCGTTGTGCCCAAGAGCCAAGAACAGCCACATACGGACAAAAATAAACAAAAATTGCTCACAGCACGAATCCGTACAAGCGCGCAGTAATTTGCTGGGCTGTTTTCCAAGGGCGTGCCTCCTGAACGCTGTCTCGTTAGGAAAGCGCTCTTGATTTTCAGCGTGTCCATTCTGCTAACGATAGGGGCAACGAAGTTTCTGAAGGCCATTCGCCGCACTGCAAGCTGCTGTGGAAGTTACCAATGCTCCGCGCAAGACACGTTGTCTCCTTTACTTAATTCTTACATGCTGTTGCCTTCACTCCGCGTGGTTTTGTTCTTACCTCTTGGCACGTCCTTTCGTTTAGCTTACGGAAGCTCTGAAAAAAACTTTCCTGAAGGGATCGTTTTGCGTTGTCGCACTATGGGTGAGCCAACAGATAAATCCAACGTGTTTTCACATTCGTCATCGCTATCATCACTGCGCGAACCTCTCCTTTTCAGAAAGAGAATGTTTTACTGAAAAGCTGGAGATGTTCGCCTGGCTATTCGCCTGACTTGCCTACTCCAGGTAGCGGGCGAAGAGTATGATGCATGCACTGATGAACACGTGACACATACAGCCACACACGTAGACTACACCATGCGCGTTCAAAGTTTCGTTCCAGATCGTGGACCGTAGGAAGGTCAACAGCGCTTTCGTGTCACGTAACACACAGGTGCTGCGTTGCCATGGGCACAGAATATGTCGCAACTCATAAGCACCGTAGATACGGCTTTATTGCTATAGCCCTGTGCCGCTGAGCTGCAGAAAGCGTGTCTGATACCCGCTGTAGGTGGCTGCATATCGAGAGGAGCGAGACGCATTGTTCGCGCACTCATTGGAAGCACCAAATGTTGGCATACCTTTGCTGAAACATTGAGAAATCCTCTTCAATGTTGCGCAACATAGCGTGCCATAGACGAGGGATATATAAATACCATCTGTTTCGTAACTTATTTTTAGCGCACACTGACACACGGACAAAGAGAGGGAACAATAGACGTGTTGTTCCCTCTCTTTGTCCGTGGGGTGTGCGCTAAAAATATGTTACGATGCACTCATACCAACTAGCTCGTATTGCAATATTACTCGAACATCTGGTGGCTGAAGGTAATCAGTATTTCCCCACAATACACATCGATCCCTTATTAGATTGTGGTTCTGTAATGCAATATCTAAAAATGTAATTATCCTTTGGCTCTATAGCCTTCTTGTTACAGACAACTTACATCTCAGACACACTAGCAAGTTTAAATCAACTGGTTGTCATCAGAATCCAATGAACTGTGTTGATTAGCGCAATGTGGGAGTGTTTACAGAATACAAATCTGCTTTTCTTAAACTTGTAATGAAAGAAGTTTTATTAAGTATGTGTGGAACATATTTATAAACACTTTTTTGCAACGTGAACATCAATTTCAATCATCAATTTAAATTTGCACGATTACTTTATTGTGAGACCTCCTATACATAGCAAATGCGGAAGCATTAGGAACACCCGTGTATCCAGCGAAGAGTACGTTGTGGGACGAAAAGCAACCAAAATTATTTTTGAGTCCCTTTCTCTTACGTTGGGCGTCATAATCATCGTGGTTTTGGCAGGTAAAAAGAAACAAAAAGCTCTCGAAGTCGGTCAAGTTCATTATGCCTGTTGTATCGCAATGGAATTCAGGACAGGGACAATAAAGCTGGAAAGCCTAGTTCTTTAGTTACGACAGATAAATAGCGAGGTAAATGAAAGTGAACTGGAAGCCGGATTACCGGAGGTGCGGAACGGAAGCCGCATTTTCCGGATTACACGAGCTTCAACGAAGACAAGCTCCGGCTGTCCTTCCTTTCGCTTTCTTCGAGCACGCTGCTTTTAGCCTTGGCAGTGTTAACCATCGCCAGCCGCTGACGGCCATGTCCGGCAGCGGATGTTTAAATCTCCTCGGCCGCAGACGTCAAGTAGAACTCGCAAGCTTGTGGGCAGGCAACGGGCCAATAAACCCTCGTCGGCAACATAAAGCCGCCAAGGCTGATACTGTCGAGAACACCGCTGGGGGTGGTCGGAAGAAGGACGGCTTTGATAGTAGATTGGAAAAGTAATGAACGCGTGAAGCGTAACACTTAAGCTCGGCTGTGCGCTTTCAGAAACTTATATCTTCGTAAGGTTTCTTTCTTTTTCTTTTACTTTATTATTTCTGCGTTTCATCAACGTCAGTAATAATTATACCACAATATGACTATGAGAGATGCCGCAGGAAAGAGCTTCGGAAATTTCGTCCACATCGGGGTTTTTTAACCTGTACCTAACCTTAAGCACACTGGCTTCAAGCGTGTTCGCCCCCACTAAAAATGCGGCGGCCGTGGCCGGGGTTCGCTCCCGCCACCTTCAAGTCAGCAGTCAGACACCATAACCACTACACCCCCGTGGCGAGTATTGTTTAATCAACGTCTAATTCTCGTTATGATTTTTCGTGCCTTTTCGTGACTTCATTACCTTTTTTTTTTGTAGTTATAACACACAAATGAGAACATTGCGGCTTTAACGTGGCAGCAGCAAGTCATGATGATGAGGCACAGCAACCCACGTTGATGATGGTCGCGGGGGTGATGGTGACGACCTTTCATGCCGTCCCGTTATACTCTTCTGGCCAGTTTCCTCAATGAAATAATTTTCAAAGTTTTTTTTTTTTACTACCAAGACCAGCATCCTGTGGTTCCGATTCCTTAGCGATTTTTCCGGCCTCGTTCTATCACGAACCACGCGCCGGTTGGCTGATGCCATTGATAACCAGTTACAATACAAGAAAAAAAAAGTACGAAAGGGAATGGCATGTGAAAGGGAATAGCATGTGAAAAGAAGCTTTCCCTG